CTGAAAAGAACTTAAAGGAAATTTACATAATATTTTGTCTCTTTCAGCAAAGGATGATTATTCATTTAAAATCTGTTATACAGGGTGTATAAAAGAATTCGAATTCAACTTTGACAGACTGCTGTAAGTAAAATGCTATAACAAAATGATATAATTTTTGTATGGCAATAAAGAATAGCCTATTAGATTTTTGAAAAATTATATATTTCGTATGTCAATGCGATCAGAAATAATCATTGTTATCGTCTGCTAAAAATGTTTTTTTGAAATCAAAGTTTTCCGCTTAAGGGAATTCGAAGTGCATGACACCTAAAGAGAAAAGATAATGCAAACTTAATTGAATGAACAAATCGCTTGTTTTGGACAAGAAGAAGTTTGCGATAAATTCTCAGAACAAATTTTCAGAACAAAATGTCCAATTCCCATAATTAGCGAAAAAATGTAATTTTTATCGACTTTTTTTGTCGACCCGATATTCGTTCATTTTTTAACAAAATGATGCGAACTGCGTACATGGATGTCATCATAAAGAAATAAACAAACTTAACTTAAAACTTAAAAAATAAATAAACTTAACAATTATGTAAAAATCAACAAATTTTTTCACATACATATTCTGTGTAAATACACGCCAAATTTTAATTCGAATTTTTTTTATACACACTTTACTATAATATATAAATTTACGGAAAAACCAAAAAGCAAAACCGTTTTCAAATTAACGCGATGACAAAAATCGAATCACCTGTTTGAAAGCTTTTGAGCGACTGGAAAGAGTTTTAATAAATTGGCATTCTTACCATAGTATTTTCTGTTTTTCATTCGAGGTCGAGGTGCTCTTCGTCTCTGGCTTGTTTATATCTTCTTCAGCCGTATTTGAAACGTTATTTTCAGCGTCTGCATCAACTTCTCGTATTCCCAGTTCCTAGAGCTGTTTCTCCAATTTGGAATATTATTTTCGGTTTTAAAAGAGGTAAACTTGTGCTTTTCGACAGAACGGTTGCTCAATTACTCGGATGGGTTCTCTGTTTGTTTTTCTGTCTGTCAGAAAACAAAATATAATTAATATCATGGGATGACCTGCTAAGATTGAGTGATTGTTCCCACGGGCCTCGTTTCTGAAAAATTACTGTGCTTTAAAACCGTGAACACTCAAGTTCAACCTGCGTTTGCATTGCCGCAACGCTATTGTAATGAATTCATTAATATGTTTAATTGCCACTCTAACTAACAGAGTTAACAGGGTTAGTCGGCGAATTTCACAGCTTTTGAGCGGCTGAAAAGAATCAAAGAAAATTTAAATAAATTTACTCTCTTACCGTAACATTATTTATGCTTCATCAAAGGTGGAGGGATTTTAAAATTGCCACGCCAGGGCCAGTATTCTGGGACACGTTTGGTGAGACCTCATAATTATTTACATTGACTTCAGGTCTTCCGCTGTATATGCAAAGTGTGCTTTTTTCTTCTTTTCTTCTGTTGTATTTTCCCCATTAGATGCCTGGAATAAAACACTGAATTGTTGATCAATTCTACTTCAGAGATTGCTGCTGTAATATATGTATAATTATGTACATAATTAGTATAGGGATTAGGATTCTGCTGCATGGAATTATAGTCACTTGTATCTAGGTACTTATGCTGAACACACCACTATTAATATCTTTTACATGGTGGCAGCGGTAAAACAGTCTGAACTTAACAAGAAAGATATCGCCATTAAGATAAAGACAGAAAAAACAAACTGCTACAAATAATACATGTAGCAGTCAAGAAGAAATCAAAATAAGGAATTCAAGTTAGTGGCATTACTGAAGCAGAACGAATTCCCCGGAAAATTCTACCGCAAAGAAGACATACATGCGAAGATAGAAGCACACAGAAGCTGAAAATCAAGCACAAACATATCCTTAGAGTATCCTTGGAATAAACATTGTAGTATAGCTACAGTGATATTAATATTAAAGCTATATAGAACTATATGTACTTTGGGTTATGAAAGTTGGCAGACAATAACGGGGACAATAATGCTCGTGCATCGCTGAACACAAGCGGGGCAATTGGGTAAACTACAATACTAAGCGATTATCCTATACCTGAAGTAAAAGAAAGGGAAATAAACTCACGATAGAATAAATTGGCCGATAAGATGTCGGAATCTATTATGCCCCGCATGGACTGGGCTAATTCAGATCAAGGCAGCGCTATAAAACTGTTTAAACAACAATGCGAGTTATATTTCTCTGTTAAAGAGGTAAAGAAAGAGAAACAAGTAGACCATATCTTGTTGTTTACCGGTGCTAATGGCATTAGAATGTTTAACTCATGGGGATTAAATGAGACGGAAGAAAAAGACCCAGATGTTGTCTGGAATAAATTTATTTCGCATATACAACCAAAAGAAAATTTTAGAGTAGCGCGGCTGTATTTACAAAAAATCAGACAGCAAGAAAATGAAAGTGTTGACGAGTTTGTCTCAAGGTTGAAGTTACAAGCCTTCAAATGTAGCCTGCGTGATGATAAAGAATTCGAGGACAGAGTAATAGAACAATTGATTGCTGGAACGTACCACAGTGAACTACAAAAGCAGCTCCTAGCAATGGACAAATCATTGAGTTTGGCTAAAGCAATTGAACTTGGAAAGACGCATGAAGCCACCCTAATGCACATGAAAGAATTGGCACAGGTACAACGAGAGGAGACATCGACGGTGTATGAAGTTCGAAGAGAGGAAACTTGTGGGAATTGTGGAAAGTTCCACTCAAAGTTTCCGAGAGATAAATGCCCAGCGTTTGGTACAATGTGTCATCGATGCAAGAAACGAAATCACTGGGAGAAGATGTGTAGATCAAAACTGGCAAATGGACCAATAAAAGACCAGTCTGGTTCTAAAGGTCAGGCAAATGGACCGACAAAAGATCAGTCTGGTTCTAAAGGTCGCTCGAAGTACTCTCGTCGAAAGAACTACGAGCAACGGGAGATACATAATATCAGAAAGGAAGACTCTGACGACGATGATTTATTCGAAGAAATGACAATAAATACTGTCAAGATATCAGATATCAGTGCGTGTGACGACCTTCGTTCTAAGCCACGCGACGAAGCTTTCACATACATCAAAGTCAAGTGTAGCAAAAGAATACGAGCAAATTTGAAAGTGAAGATAGATACGGGCGCACAAGGCAACACCCTACCAGTGAGAATGTTCCGTGAAATGTATCCAGGAAAAGTCGACTCTGCAGGGTTCCCGCGAAAAAACGCAGTCAAGAACCGTCAAGTGGTCCTGACTGCTTATAATGGCACAAAAATACCACAGTATGGCGCAATACAACTCCAATGTCGCTATGATGGATGTAAGTGGATCAACACAGATTTTTACATCGTGGATTCAGACGGTCCCGCTATTCTTGGCCTGCCAAGTTCCCTTGATCACAAGCTAGTAACACTCCATTGTGAAATCAGGAAATCGAAGGAAGAGTCCCGTCCAGCCGAGGCAACGCACGGATTCTCGAAGCCAATTGATAAAAGCAGACGTATTAATACTGTAGACGATTTAAAGGCAGTATATCCTGAGCAATTCGATAAAATGGGAAAATTTCCTGGTGAGTACCACATTGTTCTTGAAGAAGGAAATCATCCAGTAATACATGCGCCACTTAAGTGTCCCATACATCTGAAAGATGAGCTAAAGCAAGAGTTAAACGACATGGAACAAAAAGGTGTTATAAAGAAGATGACGGAACCGACAGATTGGGTGAGCAGCATAGTCATATCGAGACGGAAGAACGGGAAATTGCGGATATGTCTGGACCCAAAAGATCTGAATAAAGTTATAAAACGATGTCATCACAAAACACCAACTTTGGAAGAAATCACACATAAATTTTCAGGATCGAGATACTATAGCAAGCTCGATGCAAAAAATGGCTATTGGTCCGTGGTACTAGACGAGGCGAGCTCTAGACTAACAACTTTCAACAGCCCATTTGGAAGATATTGCTTCCAAAGAATGCCATTCGGTTTGGTAATGAGTCAAGATGTTTTCCAACACAGAATGGATCAGATTCTTGAAAAATGTCCCGGGACAGTCAGCATAGCCGATGATATCGCGGTATGTGGGAAAACAGAGGCGGAACATGATTGGAACCTACTCAACTTAATGGAAGTAGCAAAGAAATACGGGTTGGTGTTCAACAGTGAGAAATGTGAGCTTAAAGTCCCACAAATCAAATTCTTTGGTATGATGTATGACAAAGACGGTGTTCATCCAGACCCAGCCAAAGTGACGGACATAAAGCAAAGGTGTTCCCCAAAAAGCAAGACTGAACTTCAAGAATTTCTAGGAATGGTCACATACATGTCTCCATTCATACCAAAGTTGGGGGAGCATACAGCAAGTTTACGAAACCTCCTTAAGAAAGAAACTGACTATGTGTGGTCAGAATCGCAGGAGCAAGACTTTCGAAAGATTAAAGGACTTATTTGTCATGAAACCACACTCACGTACTTTAACGTAGAGGATGAAACAGTTATACAAGTGGACGCATCCTCTAGAGGAACTTGGTGCTGTGTTGCTCCAGAACAATAAGCCTATAGCGTTTGCATCAAAGTCGTTGAGTGACACCGAGCAACGTTATGCAAACATAGAAAGGGAACTGCTGGCTGTAGTATTTGGGTGTGAAAGATTTCATACTTATGTATATGGGAAACAGTTCACCATCGAGTCGGATCATTAGCCGTTGGAAATGATGCAGCTGAAACCATTAACAGCCGCTCCCCCGAGGTTGCAAAGAATGTTACTTCGTCTCCAAACGTATGACGTGAAGATAAGATATTTACCCGGAAAAGAAATGCTGCTGGCAGACAGTTTATCGCGTTCTCCAGGTACAGATAGCACAACGATAGACCTAGATCTGCAAATCCATCATATCCAATTTACACAGCAACGACTTGATCAGATAAGACAGGAATCTAGGCAGGATGCAGTTAAGGCAGCTAATGGAAGTGATTGTGGTGGGTTGGCCAGAGAAGAGGAGAGACGTACCCAAACAAATCCAACCATATTGGTCATTTAGGGATGAGTTGGCTGTGGAGGATGGTCTTGTGTTAAAGGGTCCACGAATAGTCATTCCACGAAGCCTAACCTCAAATATACTATTCAAGCTTCACGAAGGACACCAAGGAGTAGAGAAATCTAAACTCAGAGCGAAAGACTGTGTTTTTTGGATCAATATAAGTAAGGATATAGAGATGACCAGTGCACAATGCTCTACCTGTCAACAGTACAGGAAGTCACAGATCAGGGAGACATTGCTCCCTCATGATGTTCCCACTCGCCCATGGCAAATAGTAGGGACAGACTTGTTCGAGTTTGAAGGGGATAATTATTTGATTATAGTCGATTATTATTCAAAGTTTCCATTTGTAGAAAAGATGCCTGTTCATTGTACCGCAAAAGCCGTTGTTGAAGCAACTAAGAAGATATTCTCAGAGCAAGGAATTCCTCAGAAAGTCGTGAGTGATAATGGACCTCAATTTAGTTCTTCATTGTACAGTGCATTTGAGAAAGAATGGAACTTTTCACATATGACATCTTCGCCGCATTATCCCCAGTCAAACGGGTTTGTTGAACGGTTCATTCAAACTGTCAAGAATTCATTTCGTAAAGCAAAGGCTAGTGGGAATGATCCCAAAATGGTTCTTCTTTGCATTCGCACTACACCAGTAGACAGCAGCATCCCAAGTCCTGGAGAATTATTATTCGGACGTAAGCTGCAAGGAAATCTTCCTGTAAGAATACCTAATAGTGATCACCGACGGGATGAGGTCCATGCCCGTCTTGTGGAGAAACAACAGAGACAAAAAACGTACTATGACCAGCATGCTCGTGATCTTTCTCAACTAGTTCCAGGGCAAGAAGTCCGAATTCAAGATAACAGAACCAAAGAGTGGCAACAAGGTACGGTACGCAGACAATGCCAGGAACCACGGTCATATGTGGTGGAAAATGAAAATGGTAGTTGGCTACGGAGAAACCGACGGCACATTCAGACAGTAATTGAACCTGCATCAAGATGTGCGTTAGATTCACAAGGGAGAGCGGAAGAACCAGAAGAGAAAGCTGGAGAGGAACTTGGAGAGGAACTTGGACAAACTACAGGCGAGATTCACCAAAACGTCTACAGAACCAGATCTGGAAGGGCAGTTCATAAACCTGAGAGATATGGACAATACATTAACACTTAGAAATAGTAGTGCGTGTAATTAAAAAACTTTATTGTTAATGATATATAATGCTCAAGGACATGAAGTTCTGGGTCTTTATAAACAGTAATCCAGTTTTCAACATTTTGAAAATAAAAAAAAAGAGATGTAATATATGTATAATTATGTACATAATTAGTATAGGGATTAGGATTCTGCTGCATGGAATTATAGTCACTTGTATCTAGGTACTTATGCTGAACACACCACTATTAATATCTTTTACAGCTGCTCCTACGGCTTTCATTCCGAAACTGAATTACTGTACCCCCAGAACTCCAACCACTCCGAAATTCTACCGGCATTATTTATAACTTCGGATAAATCAGATAACTTTATATTGTAAATTGAACCTCGTTTTAATAATACAATGACAAAACTTAAAAAATGAAATCAGAATATACATACATACCTTGATATAGCTGAAGGTGGAGTTAAAACACTCAGCTGCATGATTGTAAGATTCACATCTTTTATGTTGTCTGGACGACTTTGACTGCATCGATTTTGCCTTTTTCCGCATAGGTGTGGCTTGAGCTTTCTTAGTATGAATCTTGACCTTTGAATTACTTCAGGGATCATTGACTTTATATTCATTTATTGCTAATCCCCCTGCTTCGCTCTTATCAGTAAGTTTGATTTTTCTGTCTTTTGTCGATTATGGAATGAATGTTGGAATTAAGCCGGTCTTAAAGTCCTTTGATGTCGCTTTGATTTAATAGCATCGTGTCTTTGTCAAAGCAGTCTTCCAGCTCTGAATCGACTGGTCTTTTAATGCCGGTTAACATGAGATTTTGCCTCCGCTTGCCATCTTCGTGCTTTAGACGGTTCTCAGCTCTATCAACTAGATGTGGAATTGAATTGGAAACATTTTGGGCTAGATAAGGCCTTAACTTTTCTAATGTACATTCGGTAATGCCGACATTGAGAGATATATCGAACAATGCTTGCCCTTCGGTTGACGACGTAACTATATACCAAGTGAAAAGGAACGAACGTGCTCCACGTGATGCATTGTTCTAATTTGCATCTCAAAGATCCACTACTTCCGGATAAAAATACGTTTCAGATTATATTGTTCCCAAGGGACTTGTTTTCTCTTACGCATATTTGAGTTATTGCTGAATTAGTCCAGGATTTCCTACAAATATATGTAGAAAATTATTGTAAAAAGCAAATTTTGTCTGCAAACCCTCACATCGACTGAAATATTGTTGATTTCCTGCTTTTAATTTCCACTCTAATAGAGTGGAAAGTGCCAGGAGATGATACCAATATTGTCACTAACAAATAGCTATCAGACGAGAATTTTTGGCTAATTTAATTATTTGTATCTTTGAATACGTATAAATTATTCAGTTACGGTGAAGCCACGTCATGTTACCAAAGTTGACGACAAAAACCCAGTTATTCCAGAACAACTGCATGCATGTACAGAATAATTTAATCAGTAATTAGCACTCTTACCATAACATATTTTGTCCTACATCTGAGATCGATGGACCAATCATGAAATCCTGCACTTGAGAACAAGTTTTTCGAGACCTATTATTTAGGTCTTCTTTCTTCACCTGTGGTTAGCTTTAACTTTCGCCTCGACTTCTTGAATACATGTTCCTAGAAGCATTTCTCTGTAAGGCACGGTTATTAGTTGCGGTAATTCCACAACGTGAAATTGTGCTTTTCGATAAAACGTCTGGTGAATTACTTGGGTGGCATCTCTCTCTCCAAAAACTGTATTTTCTGCCATTAGATGCCTAGCATAAAGTAAAAATGTAATTGGTCTGATTATTAGATCTGCATGGTTACAAGTTTTGAATAAACTTACTCCAGAATTTTTGTCCTATATACGCGGACCTTGCTCGTTTTTGGAAATTGCTGTCCCTTATAACTCTAAACACTCTGAAATTCTACCTGCCGTATTCTTGTTTGAATTATCCAGCGCTAATACATTGAATTTGAAAGTAATTCCAACTTACATCAGCTCTTCTGTATGTAATATGTTTGATTCAACTGTGGGATTTTAGACCTGTCACGAGACTGCACCAGCCTGATAATTTCTAGAATAAGAACAAAATTCGGTATAAAATATAGATGTGTGAAATGATATAATTGAACTGGTTTCATTTGTGCGATACACTTAATTCCTTCTTTACTATTTATTCAGTGGAGCAAGTTATACTGGCTAGCCCATGCATGCGAAAAGCGCATCAAATCAAAAGCCCAAAGGTCTCATTTTATGCAGTTTTCATCTCGCCTAGTCTGAAAAACTCTCTCAATAATTATAAACAAGCTCTAAGATACAATAAAATACACTATAAATGTGCATGCATGCTAGGGTACGTGTGAGCACTTGCTGTATCCTAGAAAGAAAGGAAAAAGGACTGAGATCTGTACAGATATAACTTTATTGAGAGATAACTCTTTATGCGGTTAAATTAACCTGCATGGTGTTAATTGATCGAGCATGACACATTAAGTCACTGCATGAAATCACAATACATACATCGACATAGCTGAAGATCGAGTTAAATCACCAAGCCTATTGTCAGATTCACTTCTAGCATCTTGCCTGGATGAATTTGACTGCCTTGACTTTGTATTTTTCCCCACAGCTGTGACTTGAACTTTCTTGAATCTTGATCTCTGAATTGCTTGCGAAATCACCGGCCACGTATTCTTTCATAGCAAATCACCGGTTTCGCTTTGATCAGCAAGTTTGTTTTTTCTTCGCCGATTATGGAATGAATATTTTGGACGGATTAAATCCGGTGTAATGCTGCTTTGCCGACAATGCAATTTCATAGCATCGTGGTTTCTTCAATATAGTCTTCAGCTCCGTATTTAACAGAACCAGGCTTAATAGCCGGTTAACTTGTACTGTTGAACTTCAGCTTTTGTATCTTTGTGCTTCGAGCGGCTCTTAGATGTAAACTATATAAACATTCTGGATTCCGGAACTAATACGACCAGAGACGTTTCAAATACTCGTTTGGTAATATCGAGTTATTGACACCGTTTGAGAAATGAGCATTGAGAAATATCGAAGGGTTCTTTCTCTTCGTTTGACGGCAGAACAATACCGCGTGGAGAAGAGAGAATGTGTTACACGTGATACACAGGCGCAAAAAACCTTCCACAGAAACACAAATTTAGAACTAATTTGCATCTCATTACCAAGCTCCCCCTTTCCTCTTACGTTTGTTCTAGTTACTCTTGACTTCGTCCACGAATCCCTACAAATATAAATAATTATAGTATAAAAAACAAATTTCACATCGACTGAAATGTTTTTAAATTCTTATTCCGCGAATTGGCACTCACATCGGCGACCGAAATCCTGACAAAGGAATATAATATAAATTAACAAGCATCCAGATAGAATCCAGAAGAATTAATATGATTTGCGGTCAGTGGCACGTGCAGTGATGTCAAAACCAAGTCACATTTGAGGTAAACTTTCATGACTGTCTTGACTCGTCTATTGTTCCGTTATCCGAGGTCTATACCAAGCTTTTTCAACAAGGTAGGTGAGACAATTTTTTCCATGCTCTAACCGGGTGAAATGCAATTTAACAGTTTTCACGCAAAAAGCCCTTATCACGACCTTATTGAATCGTATTTTCATTATCATGCTTTCTCAAAATCTCACGACACTCGACAGCCAAAGAATTTCGGATATCCGATTTTCGGATTTGACTAGCTAAAGGACTTTTCGAGTAATTTAACGTTGTCGTCGAAGAGCTATCTTTAAAAGGGATGAGACAAGCGGGGAAACTGAGAATCGTTTTGAACTAAGAATAAATTCTTACAGACTGAACTTCTTTCTGCATGTGAAAATGAACTTTGGACTGCGAAGTGCGACGTGAAGATGCCGCTTGTTTCTCGGACTTTGATCGTTATTATTAAAACATTTGAGTTATTTATCGTTGTTTAGTTATTTTTTTGAATTTATAAAACTTTTATAGGATTTTGCTATAAGTATGCTATATGTATAAGACAATAAGTATAAATATAAGCGCGGCCAGTAATCGTGTTTTGTAAATATCTCGAAACCGGTCTAGACAACCCTCGCTTATGTATTTTGTATTAGAATTGATTCTTTGTTTTCGAGATAAATAAATACACAAGACAAACGATATACAAGCATATAAAACTATGTATGCATCTTGAAGTTTTTTACAGTACTAGTGAACTAATAAGCTACACAACTTGTGCTGATTGCTCAAGGTACAACAAACACGTAACTTAATTTAACTTGCATGTATAATTATTATGTTAACTATTAGGATAAAATCAATAAACCTTTAAGACTTTAACAACTGTCCGTTAGTATAGACTTTAGTCATCAATATTTGCGAGCATATTCGGCATTATTCGGACTTCAGTAATTTTGTATCAACTTCGATCTCTTTCGACGCTATTCTTTCTTGTATAAATGGAAGATATATCTATATGTCTTGCCCAGTCTATGACGGAATTCTTTATTAATTTTTGCACATTGATTTTCTTGAGTTCCTGCTTTACAACTCAACTAATGTCTAATAACAGTCTATATACGTATGATATAAGTGACAGCTTTACAACATGCATGATCTGATAACACTCTATACGGGTACAGTATCGTGGCCAGCCTGACAATTCAGTCCCGCTTATTTACTGTGAAAACTATAAATTTCTAAGGAAAGTAATAATTTTAATAACCTGAAATTTGCATAGAAGGACAACATTATGTCATTGCTACGTCACTGGCTACGTAGCTGGATTGTTTCTTGACGCGTACGAGATTGACCTATTGCCTAATATATTTGCACAAATTTAATTTCAGCTGTTGAATTAATAACGAAGCGTAGATTGCTTCTTCAACGTATTGTACATTGTAAAATCCGTAGGTTAAAATAAACTATTTTTAAAATTTATAACGTTTACCAATAATTAATTTCAGTTAAGCAACTGGAAAAGTCACAACATACAGGTGAAAATAGCCCATGCACAATTTTTTTAGTTGATTGCGCGAAGTTGGGGATGACCGATTAAAAATTTTTTAAACTGAATAATCTTTTTTTAAACCATCAGTGGTTTACTCTAAGTCTCTAATTCAATATCATGCTGCTTTAGTCGAAAAATAATGAACAGAAAAATGAAGTGATTAATAATATTATAGGTT